ATAAAAACCGTGTAGATTCTGCAGACTCTGCAAAAATATGTTTGTGTGTGTGTGTGTGTGTGTGTGTGTGTGTGTGTGTGTCTCATCCTTAGATCCAGCACCTTGTCCAGTGCAGTGTCCTCTCTCTCCAGCACTGGGATCTCTCTCAGCCGTATGGACGACAAGACAGAAGACAATAGGCTGCAGCAACACAAGGCAAGACATTTTTAATCTCACCACCACATACATATATAGATAGACAGCTAATAACACACCAACAACACGGCACAGAATGAATTCACAACATCATCATTGCCAGTGCACCTTTTTTTTACCTTTTCTTTTACGTGAGAAAAGCAAACTGAAGTCACTATTGTGAACTGTGAACAAAACTCTGTGTCAAGTCTTTTTGTCCTGCGTGCTGTTGTTGAAGTCGAATGGACAAGTGCATTAATCCTGCAATACAATGAAATACAGTGACATACAGTTTCTGGCTGCTGGCCCATAGTGTACAGAGATGCACAGAGAATAAAAATTAAATCTCAAGACTTTCAGCAGTGGAAATAGTATTGAAATAAAGGTGCATTCAGGACAAATATTTGTTTAAAGCACGGCTACATTAATAATGGCTACATTACTACTACAAATTAAGGTATTACTTAATTTGAGAGATAATGTTTCTTTCTTGTTGTTTTTCCAGAGGAGGTTAACACTATTCACATGTGCTGCAGGGCTATTAGCAAACTCGGCAAATATCATTTTATACTGTTGATGCTTCTCACGCAGGAGGACGTTCATAAGGTGATCGACATTCAGACACCCAATGTGTCACCAAGCACCCAGTCAGTGGGCAGTGCCAACAGCAGCGGAGGGGCCACAGATCTCTTCTCCAACTCACCCATCGTAACCGTCAACAACCAGTAAGTCTAACATCAGTAGTCTCACAGGCACACAGTGTAAAAACAGTGTAAAGTCTTCTGTATAGCGGAGAAAAGACAATTGTTTTTCGTTTTGTCTACGAACCACTAGTCTTCAGTTTGTTTGATTTTATACATCCAACAAGAGGCCTTTTGCCTGGCTGTCATTATAAATAAGTTTTTTTAAAATGGTTACATAAAAATAAAATGAGAAACTCTCTATTTTCCTTCCTGCAGTGTGCCAAACCTGACCAGTGAGCTGTTCACCCTGCAGCCAAACTTCACCCCCATCCAGACCACACACACTGTGCCCAACAATAACAATGCCTGGGGAGGTAGGCCCTCACACACACACACACACACACACACACATAACGAAGCATGCAAATAAATGCCCACTCACTCACACAAATACACGCTCAAACAAACACAACACAGCTCAGAGCTGGATACGCTGTGACAGTGATGCCCAGTTGCTTCATGCTCTTGACTCATTTCCCCTCTTTTCTCCTTTCACGTTACCATGGTAACCTTGTGATGTCAGGTGACCTGCTAAAGCCAGCTCCACCCACTCAGATTCACAGCCCTGGAGCCCCATTGCACTCTGGGAAAATGCTGCCCAATGATTTGGACTCTTCATTAGCCAACCTCGTTGGCAGTGAGTGTACAATATCTCAGCTGACACTTTTCTGTCTTTCCTGATATGCTTCTCTCACTGTGTTGCTTACTTTGACCTGATGATACGTTTCTTTTTTTCCTCCCAGACCTGCAGTTTGGGGGTCCAGCTAAAAAGTGAGTGGGTTTTGTTCTAAAACTTAACCACAAGCAAATGACTCAAACTGTCCAGTTTTCATCACTGTTCACACTCTCTCTTATTCACAATTTCTCTTTTGGTTTTTGCATAATCTGTGCACCTGTAAATGACCTGTGTGTGTGTGTGCGGATCAGGCCGGAGCTCCAGTGGAGTCAGCTGGTAGAGAAGAAGCCAACAGGAGGCAGTGGCTGGCAGTCAAAGACCATGTGCACCAGCACCAACTGGACTCACACCACCCATCCCATGGCACCTGCACCCATGCCCGTCCCTCAGATGGTAATCATCGTTTTTTTTAATGAGTTATGCATGCTCACATACTTCCAAATGTCCACTCCCACAGCTGTTTTCACTTACGTTGACTGATTAGACCTCTAATCAAGATAATGTGGGCGTATACAGACTGTGCTTGATTGACAGCTCGTCCATTTTCCTGTTAGGTATGAGTAGGACATTATCATTATCTGCACTCCAAAAGCCGGACCAACACTGCTGGTTTGTGCCTGGTGGGTGTGACTTTTACTCCACTCCACACAAACAAAAAACAGCTCTGCGCAGCAAGTAAAACAGCATGTGTACTAAACAAATAGAGCAACACCTGCAAGCTAGTTCAGGCAGTCAACTCGAGCTGCACTGCTTCACACGACATGCCTCACTCTCCATAATCACAAACCAAATACACCTGTCCATTTTGGAGGTCTATTTAGACAAAATTTCCCAGCTCTTAAGCAGGTTTCAGTGTCCTTGCTGCTATATACCCGGTGGCACCTGTGTGCAGGACCTTTTAAAGTTTAGATTAATAGACCTTTGAACACCCCCAGTCACTGGACTTCACATCTACAAACAGCGGCTTTACAGATGACAGTTTTAAATGCACTTTTCATTTATTTTATTGTTGTAATGTAGGGCTGCAAGTAGCTTGCTCAGTCTATAAAATATCCAATTTTCAGTTTTGTCAGAGTCCAAGTCATCTTCAAATTACTTGTTTTGTCAGACGAACAGTCTAAAACCCAAACATCTCAGATTAAAGAAGCTGAAATCAGAGAATATTTTGATTATCAAAATAGTTCAGGCGAACCTCCCTATGTAGTGATTTTTATTTTTTTGTGTCAAAAATCATCTGAAATAAAAATAAGAACACATCAGGGGTGTAGTTACAAAATAACTATAGAAAATAAAATGAAAAATACAATGAACCTGACATCAAAGTCTCTATTTTATACACGATCTGGACTACTCCAGCAGAAATCCTTTGAAGAAGTGTGGTATTGTGTATTAATTTGGTGCCATCCATCATTTTGTCAGTGAAGTTAGTTTCTCCTAATGATACGATATCTCATTCTGGAGTGAAACTCATCAAATATACCTGGTGGCCAAATGTAACTTTTTTTCTGCTGCATTCAGGGCTTTTGAAGGAACACCCAAATGTGGCTCCGTCCTTTGTGCTCCACTCTAATTACCCGCACGTCTCTTCCATTCAATCTGGTTTCATCTTTTAATTTTCGACTGATTGACCTCTCAACTCAAACCGCTCATTTATTCAGCAAATGGCTCGGAAAAACCGGTGGCACGGCTTGAATAGAAAGTAGAAGTGATTGGAAAATGAGGAATGTGCAAAGGTCTGGTTTATCTTCTCTGCTCATTTGCAGAAAAGGCACAAGCATGGCTTTTATTGTTGTAACTCTTTCTTTTTTCTGTAACTCTCCACAGAATGGGATGATCTATACTGGCTATGTAAGTACCTTTCTTCTCTTCCATCACTTCTCTTGCACCTGATTTCATTCTGACATCCTCTAAAAACCCTTTCGTTTTGATTTAAGAATCAATGCTTGGTGCTCTTTTTATTATTATGCTGTTTGTATTCTTGACAATAGAATTGATTATAGAATGAATTATAAGAGGCAAGGGGAATTATCGTTCTTTTTGTGCTGCCTTGGCATGGCTGTTTCATCACTTGTGGTTATTACAGGCTGCCAATCTGCTGCTTCAATACAACTTTTTTAAATGTTGCACCTCTTTTTGTTGCTCAGGATTACGTGTCTTCCTACATGCAAACAAATGCAAATGTTTAGGAAAGTCAAAAAAGCATTTCAGTCTTTGTTTGGGGGGAAATCTTTGACAAGTTAGACATGAGGCTGACAGTATTGGGACTTTTAGGTCAAGATTAAGACTCAGCCAGAAAGTGGTCCATTGTTGCTTATTCCTCTGTTTTTCTTTACAGGCTCCAGCACCAATGGCTTTTCCTATGACGACACCCCAAGTGCCTGTGTATGGAATGGTAAAGAACAGTCTAATCTCATACATTCAAAAAGCTTTTATTCATACACTGCTGGGATTGATCTTGAACTCGCCTGTCCTCTGAACAGCTCCCTCCTCAGATGAGTCATCAGATGGGGGGCGTTCCCATGATGCCCCCACAGCCTGTCATGTACAACCAGCCTGTCCTGAGACCCACCAATCCCTTTGGGCCCATCCCGGGGACACAGGTAACACACACTCAGACACATATTAGCGCACATGTTGTAGTTAAATGAGAAGATCTTAAATAAGCTATAAACTATTTCTACAATAATCCTTTTTAATACTGTTTATGGACTGCTGCTGTTGGTGGTGTATTACACATATCTGGGTCCTTTTTTCTGCGGTTGTGTATTTTTCTTGGTCCCACACATACACAGCAAATTGCAGACAATGCAGTTGAGTAGTAGATCTTTTTTTAACCTCAGTTTGTTTGATATTATGAGCTATCAGCTGTTATTTCAGAAAAATCTTGTACTTCTACTAATAAAAACCTTCAGTTATCTCTCAGGAATTCAGTTTATCTTATAAATGTAGACACGTTTAGGCGGCAATAAAGAAGCGATCCAAAATTCACAATCCAAATTGAAAGTTGACTGAATATTGGGCTGCTCTTACTTTTAGGCTTTCAAAGTGTTGCTTAAATGGAAGTAGTAGCTATGAGAAAACTGGGTAGACCAAGTAAAAGCACATAAAACATTTTTTTTATCACAAAATGACTGGAATGTGCTGGGCATCCTACATTGATATAAAGTATAACAGCATAAGAACTGTACACAAATCAGCCGTAGTATTATGACCACCTGGGCATAATGCACTGTGTGTTCTGACACCTTTCTATCAGAACCAGCGTTAACTTTTTCAGCAATTTGAGCTACAGTAGATTATCTGATTGGAGCGATGGCTGGCCCGTGTGATCCGATCCACGACTGTCGCCGGTTCACCACTTTTC